ACTGCCATTTTACATTATGCCATTTTAAACTGAGAAAAATATTAGATATTACACTCATGTCCATAAATTAAGGATAATGAAGTTCAGGCAAAGAAAGAGACAGAAGCAAAACAAATTTGACTTATTTGGAAAATCTATTTATTAAACAAAAGGTAAAGAGCAAAAAAGATGCTATATGTTTGACATAATTAATAAAAATTGCGATTTTTACTCCCTGGAGCAAATTTCAAAAAAGAACCTATTTACAAAAAAAAGTATAACATGGTTAGTATGATGGTTAATACGGAATATGTCTCCCGGACGATGCAATACAGGCCTTACAATACCTACGCATGCTGAGTATCAATTTATCAAGCTGATCTTGGGGAATATTACACCACTCATCAAGCAATGCCCTCCGAAGTTCCGGTAGACAGGTGGGAGGGGGTTGACGGGCTGCAATTCGTCGGCCAAGCATATTCCACACATGCTCTATTGGATTCAAGTCCGGTGAGTATGCTGGCCAATCCATACGGGTGATATCCTCCGATTGAAGGTATTCGTCTACAATGTTTGCACGGTGAGGACGGGCGTTGTCATCCATAAACAGAAATTCAGCACCCATGGCACCCCGAAACAAACGTACATGTTGTTCCAGAATGACATTCCGATAGATGTGGCCTGTCATCGTTACACTCTGAACATGCAGGTCACTTCTGGAACCAAGAATAATTCCTCCCCAGACGAGACATCCTGCACCACCGTAACGGTGTCGTTTAAAGGTGTTCTCTTGGTGGTAACGGGTACCTGGCGCTCTCCATATGAAAGTCCGTTGAGAATCAGACTGCAAACTAAACCTGGGCTCGTCGGAAAACATCACACAAGAAAACTGTTGAGGTGTCCATAATGCATGCTCTCTACTCCAGGTTAATCGCAGGCGACAGTGCGTTGCGGTAAGGGGAACACATCTGACAGGCCTACGAGCATATAGACCAATGTGCCCTAAGCGTTTGTACACGGTCTGCCTTGAAACTGTCGTACCGGTAGCTGAAGAGAGCTGACGAGACAAGTCTGATGCTATGCTCCGTCTGTTTCTTTTGGCAGTAACTGCCAAATACCAGTCCTAATTCGGCGTTGTAACTCGGGGGCGACCTGTGCTGTAACATCTACTCACATTACCATCATCTTGGAATAGTTGCCAAAGCCTGGAGATGACACTCTGGGCGATTCCAAGTTCCTCGGATACTTCCAGCTGGGTACGTCCCCATTCCAGTCGTCCGATAATTTTACCACGTAAAAAATCTTCCAAATGCTTCCTATGTGCCATAACTATGCGGTTATTGCACTGAAAGGCTTTTAAAGCGCTTGTGAACAATTTTACTTCTTTGCCACCATTCCTTATATACCCCTCTCTTACACTCTCGTCGGTGTGACGTACTATCTGCGCCATCTGGTGGTTTCCTGTAATTTGCCCATTCTTCTTGAAGATGTGTGTGATAATTCTACAGGTGAAATTTTTATTTTATAGTTCAATTTCTGTGTGATTCTGAATTATTCTGAATTTATGGACATAAGTGTAAAATACCTTTTTTATTATAACACAGCTGATTTTCTACCCAATTCTCATCAATAGTGGTAAGTAATACTCGCAGTCAAACATTGAAGAAAAACCTTTCTCTCTTTGTTAAATAATGTTTGAATTAATAATGTTGTCCCAATGTTGAAATTCCACTGTCTACAAAATGCTATCATGGAATAACATAGTGAACATCTCATAAAGCATCAGATAAAACTGTGTAAATGGTTCAGATAAATCGGAATAGATTTATCGCTCCTTAAATATTTATTTTACGAAACATTACTTACATGAAATATAGGGACATTACTTACATGAATGACCTTATTCTTACATGAAATAAAGTAGAAATTTTGATGAAAAACATCTTTGAGCTTTGAGTAAGACATCATTCAAAGAAAACTTTAAAAAAAAATACCGTTAGTAAGATTTCAGTTTTTCTTTTATCAGATAAGTATTGAAAAAAAATTCTAACTATTAAAAGCCGAAGCTTAGTATCCTACTTTAAAAAACAATTAAACATTATCATTTTAAACCGTACTATTTTAAAATACCATTAATTTTTTTTAAAGCTTAAATTTTCGTATCAAACTAATCACTTATCTGTAGAAATTTAGATTGTATGAGTTTTGTTTCGCTACACAGTTTGATTATTTATTGTTTTTCTCAAAAATACTAATAACACACTAAGTATGAAATGTAAAATATTCCGCATAAGATATTTTAGTTATACAGGGTGTTGCCGAATTCGACCGAAAGGTTCAGGGGGGGGGGGTTGATAGCAGACAGGGGATGACAAATCAACCTAGAACATGGGTTCGCAAACTGTTTAGTGGGAGTAATTCGAAAAAACAGTTATGAAGAGTGGAATGTCGAGTGGAATGAAAAGGGGCAACAAAAGGTAAGAAATATGCTTATTAGACATAAAGCATGTTTACAATACGAATAATGCATCGCAGCTCAACGTCAAGAATGCAACCGGATTTGTTTGAATGCATCCGACAATCCTTCGTCCGTTGATGTCGGCTGTGCTCTGACTTATGTGGCCACAACTTCCAACAATTCTTGTGGCAATCAATTGTAGTTGCATTTGGCAACACCCTGTATTTCTTTAACTGATAAACACTTTTATGTAATTTATATTTGCAATTAAAATTACTAATTTCTCCTCGAAAATATTCTGTCTAAGGTTAAGAAACAAATTAAATTTGTGTTAACTTACTTCTTTTTCTTCTTTAACTTTGCTATCAATTAAGGTTGGGGTTTACAAGAAAATAAAAAGGAAGATATATACCATTTTCATCAAAAGAAAATATGCCTCTCTATTATACAGTGATATACTTTAATTTTTCTATTGTGCAAATATCTTAATGAAAAATTAATATATATATAGCTTTCCGTTGGGATTTCTTTTTTAAAAAATTTCATTGACGGATAATTTGAAAGAAGCTACTAATTAAAATCATGTCATAAATTAGCAGAAAAAAATATATAATTGCATCTTTTATTCCAGATATCAAAAAAGATAGATAAAACTTCAGTTGAACACAGATTTTTGTTTTTGTTTTTATTAATGCAATTGTTAAATAAATACAATGAAAAACAGTTTAATTAATAATATGGTATTCAAAGTAAGTATAATTTGCCAATGACCAAAATATTTAAATCATTTGTGCAAAATACCCAAACGTTCTTGAAGGAAATACTTAAGATGTATTTTTTATTCTTTTCAAGCAATATTAAAACAGTTAAAAGGAGTAATTCAGGATCCTATGCCGATAAATCTTATCAAGGCTAACTGATTACTACTTAATTTTTTTTAATTACAAAAACAAAAATATTTTTAAATATCCTGTTGCTCGTGAGGAAGTGATGAAATATAATTAAAAATTGTTTTGTAAAAAGAGCTTTAGGGAATATTTTCTTTAATTTATTTTTTAATTGTTATTGTTAGAAATATCTTTATTAACGTGAAATAACGCACAACTTTCGATCGCTAATAATATAAATTGTTCTTGTTACAAGACAGAAATTAATTTTATTATGTATTTTCTAATAAATTATAATACATCATAAATATTTCTTAGAATAGAAAAGAACAAAATTAATTAATTAACATATTGATCAATCAAGACAATATTACTTTGTTCTTAAGACATATGTTACTTCATTATTTCTGCTATTTATATCAGCTATGGGCATTCTTTTTTCTACGTAGTATTTAAAATGTACTTAAAAATAACTTTCTAAAATGTTTCAATTTTTTTTAAATTGATCTTATTACAAAACAAAATGACTTTACAGACTATAATAAATTTTTAGCATATAATTATTGAGCCAATGACTTGCCAAATACATTTCTTTTAGAAAAAAAAAACTTTATGAATTACTTTTTTATAGTAAATCCTATTTCCCGTCTTATATTTTTGGATTCCTATGAAATAAAATTATTAAAAATGACTTAAATATACTTAAAAACACGTGCGTATTAACCCTTAGGCCAGTACTTCTCAAACTTTCAATATTTGCTGCTCAATATTCAATCATAAATTTCATCACGCCCTTGCCCCTCCGTACAAGAACAATTTATTGAATTCAATAATACTATACTTTGAAGCTGAAGCGGCGATACGACTTTAGTTCCTTAAGTACCATCGGCATATATAAACGTCTCACTCATCCAAATCGTTAATTTCCGGGGACGTATATATACGTCTTTGCAAAATACGATATTCTCTGTGCACTGCTATGCATAAAATTATTCAGAATGCTTTGGAATGCAATAAAAAGACCTTGACAGTGTTTGCAAAGGATTTACTTATTTAAGAGAATTTGCTTATTTATTCTTTTTCTTTATACCCTATTTCTTAACTCTGAATGATGGAGATTAGAATATAATGTTTCACTAGAGTTAGTATTTCATTTTTAGTTATAAAATGGCGTCAGTTTTAATCTTTCGGAAAGTTAAGGCGAGTGTGAGATATCAAATGATTCCGAATGTGTTTTTTCTGATAATGATGATAAAAGTTTTTTTTTATTTAGTACTAATTATTTTCTGTAACTAATTATTTTTATGATTTATTATTTTGATTATTTGATTAGAGTTAAATAACAGCAACTATACTAAATTTAGGTTTCTGTAAGACAAGCCATATAAAAAAAATTTTAAGTCAATTCCTATTTAGGTCCACAAAAAAAAATTTATTTTAGTTACTTTTTATTAAATAATTACAATTAATATAAATATGTTTTTCATATGACAGAAGCAAATGACAAATAGAAATTTATAAAATAGAAAACGATTTTCCTTGCAATTTTCCATTTTCCTTTCTATATATGGTGTTGGACTATTTTTTTTTTTTGTTAATGTTTATTCATTAGTTAAGTTTAATTATTCTAATAAAATACTACAACAAAAAAGGAATCATATTCTCAGAAATTATGCCATCCCAGGTGGGATTAAAAGCCACGACCTTTGGATTAGAAGTTTAACACGCTATCCATTGCGCTACAGGGACACAACGAACGATTTTCCTTTCTATACATGCTGTTAGGCTATTATTTTTGTTTCTTTCTATTTATTCATTTTTCTAATTTAATTAATGAATTAATATTTGAAAAACTGTTTTAACATCAAGTGTCATCCGCTGCAAGTTTTTTAAAAAAACGTATTTGAACTTGAATGGATGAATTGAAAGTACTTGATTAACAATTGAAAACTTGAACAAGATATATATATATATATATATGGTGGCCCAGCTAGCAACTGTCTTGCCAATTTATATTTACATTATTTGAAAATAGTTTCACAGACAACTTAGAATATTACTTTTTTTTGTTATATAGATGATATAATCATTTTTGGCAAGCAAGACAACTTTAAACCTAATATTAATTTTTATCCACAATATCTTAATTTAATTCAGGCAAATTGTAACAATTATGAAGCAAATTTTCTTGATATAGAAATTAAATTAAAAGATAATAAAACAGTTTCTAAATTTATGATAAACGAGACTTTAATTTCAATATTATAAAAGTACCGCATTGGGAGAGTAATGTGCATGTTTCTATATTCAGAAATATTGTTATTAATTACACACTACGCAATAAATTTCTAGTTTCAAATAAATCAGAAAAAAATAATAAAAACTATAAACATTTTACTAAATACTATTTATTTCAAAAATACCCAATTAATTTTATTAATAGATATTTGAATAAAAAAATTCTAAACAGTAAGGATTAAATTTCCATAGTTTTAACAGATTATTATTATAGATTTATTATTCTTCCTAGATAGTTTTAGATACCCCCAATTTCTAGTTTTAGATAAAATTACTTTTTTTAAAATTTATTATAACTTTTAAATCATATTATCTTAGAGTCTTTAAGATATTGGTAGAATGTTTACAATTCTTATTTTGTTATTTCTATTCTTTTCATACTTTTGCTAAGTGCTATTTTTCAGCCATTGCTTTGTTTTGAATTTGTATTTGGGTCCAGAATCTGGCAATAACTTGTTTATTGTACTCAGATTTATCGCAGGCTCTGCATTTCTGTGTGCAATTTTTAGGTAAGTTACATTTTTCTCGTAATGGATTTAGATTTCCTATCCATTATTTCCCGTAGGTTTTTGCTCGATATTATTAACAGAAAGGGGGAATGTTGGCTGGCCAAAAAACATGTTCAACCCCACTTTTATATAGAGAAATTTTTTTAAGAGAAATTTTTTGTATATAAGCTGACCTAAGTCAGCAATGTTGATAATACTATACCATCCATTTTTTTATATTTAACTCTGTTATTTCAATTTTTCATATCTCCTTTTAAATTCTGTTGTCTGGTTAACTTGCAATTACAATTCTTTTCAGTTTTAATCATGTTAATTCATCTCTCTCTTGTAGAGAAATTTTGATTATATACATACATATGTATAATGGGAGAGAGTGAACTAACAGTATGAATTGAAAAAAAAAGGAGGAAAAACTGCTTCCTTCAATATTTGTACTTTAAAAAGAGTACTCCTAGGAGGAAGCTAACCTAATATTAACAGATCATTAAATCTTACTTAAAAGAAAAAGCAAATTGCTATTTTACTTTTAAAATTAGAAATTTTTGTGAGTGTGTTCTTACGTTCATAAAATATTTATCCACGAATTTACTAGAACTCTTATTTATATCCTCTAAAAGCATTAATAAAACATTTTTTCTTTAAAAAAATTTATATACAAAAGAAATTATAAAAAAAAAATCTCTTCATGAGCATTCCCGTCCTTTATACGAAACTTCAAGTTCATAATGTGCTACATCTAATTCAATTTTAGACAAAAGTTTCTTTGGATGCCTCAGCTTCAAAGTGCTTGGAGCTCTAAGCTCTAAGAATACAAAATGGTCGAAGACAAACGCATTTGGCGACTTGAAACAGTAATCAATATCTGTCTAATCAAGTTCATGTCATTAGCCAACAATAGACAAAACTTATTGTAGTAGACTTCACTTGGCTGAGCTTTCGTCATTGGGGGAAGTTTATTGTTTGTGTGGAATCTTGGCGTGGAACATGAACAGCTGTCGGATTCAGACACTGGATAATGTTATTTGTTGCTTTAGTATCAGTTTCTGAGAGTTATAGATTTCCTTTTCCTTTTTCCTCTTTCGGCAGCCATAGGATCTTTTAAATTGCAAGATAGAAAAGTTTTTACGATGGATGATGATGGCCTTGCTGTAATGATTTACAACGTAGTGTTTTAATTGCTGTGAAATTTTGGGATGTATAATCTTTTATTTTTGTATTCTAAATTAAAAAAAGTTTTACTTTGCAATGTAATTTGACGTCATTTATTTAATTACGAAGTAAATAGGGATTTTTATATTATTTAATAACAGCGAAAAATATTTAATTTTTTATACATATCATTTACCAACTCTTTGACTATTCCTAGAATATCATATTTCATATTCTACTCATAAATCTGTTGAAAATAATGATTTTAGCGCATGAAAAAGAAACCGAGTTGTGTAGTTTTTAATATCCATATGCCAAGTTGTTTAAGAATAATATTAATGGCCATTTAATTGTTTTTTGAAACATTTGTCGCCCTCTTCCTCATGTATTAATCAAGGAAAAACATAGCCGTTATAAATGACATTAAAATAAGATGCTTATATTTATTTTAGAAAAGGAGTTATATATATTATTATAATAAATTATAACTTAAAAAACTAAAAACACGCTTTTATGGTTAATCGAGCTAAAATGTAAGAAATAATTCTTATAATAGAAAAATAAAATGATTTTAACGAGAAAATTTATGTCATTGTGGTAAAAGCGTGGGGTGCTCTATTTTTTTTTTCACAGTTCATATTTTAAATCCGAGGATGAAAATTAGAAAACAGTTGAAAACATTTTTTTTTGGTCAAAAATATTCGAAATCAGTAATAAAAATAAAGCCTTCCTTACCGCTTCGTAACAAGTGAGCATTCAGAACACCATTTATATTTAGCATAACAGAGAAATCAAGAGAAAAGAAAGATGAAAGTGGAAAGTTGACATATTTTGTTTATGAAGAATTATTTTCGTAAAGAAGATCCCATAATTAAGATGAATTGCGATGTCTTTGTTCTTTGTAGAAATATTTTATGAGGAACAATTGTGTGTTGATTGATAAGGTTGAAACATTTGAAAATTTGCGTACATGAACTGACATTACTTTCGTTACAGAACAAAAATATAGGAAACATTATAAAATGAGAATTTTTTGTGTCGTAAGATTAATTTTAAAAATTTAATGCAGTTTTTAAAAGGTTTTATTTTGTGCAGCTTTTTTACAGGAAATTTTACAGTATTTGGTGAATTTATAAGTAGATAGATAAATCTATAAATAGATAGAGATAGATAAATATAGATATATGCGAAAGTGGGAATTCTTCACTCTTTTGACTTGACTATTTGAGAAAATTCTTAAATTTTTAATTATTTTTATATTTTATTTCTATTTTTAAGGGGTACTTTTCTAAAAAAATTTTTTGAATCATGACTCTGTATTCAAAACAGCCGAATTTATATTGCATTTAAATTCTACAGAAATTTCAATTCAAACATTGCATTAAAAAAAAATTTTTATTTGCAAATTTTATTGCATGAATAAATTCCCCATTTTAATTCGGTAAAAAAAACATTAGATTTTCTAGGTAAGATCTCATAAGTATTTTTCTAAATTTTTAAATTCTATCCCAAAACGGTTTTACAATGTATAGGAATTCATCTTAGAGAGAATTTTTATCATTATTCCCATATACACATCGGAAGTGAAACAAAAACCCCCTTTCATTATAACAAAAATGCCAGAAACAAATAAATGCCAATGCTATAAATTAAAATTAGGATGTGTGCGTTTAATTTCTATATACATGATACACCAATATTTTACATACCGAATCTGCATTAAAGTTCTCACATCGTTACTACACAAAAGAGATTTATTTAAATACAGAAAAAAATTAAATATGGATTATTTTTATA